GCATAATATTCCACTGTGTGTATGTACCATAGTTTGGTTATCCATTCCTCAGTTGATGGACACCTAGGTTGTTTCCATCTTTTGGCTATTGTAAATAGTGCTGTGATGAACATGGGTATGCATATATCTGTTCTTGTCACGGCTCTCATTTCTTTAGTGTATATACCTAGTAATGGAATGGCTGGGTCAAATGGTATTTCTAATTCCGTCTTTTGAAGGAATCACCATACTGCTTTCCACAATGGTTGTACCATTTTACAGTCCCACCAGCAGTGTATGAGAGTCCCAATCTCTCCACAACCTCGCCAGTATTTGTTATTTTCTGTCTTGTTGAACTTTCTACTAGTGCTGGAGCAAGATGGTACCTCATTGTTGTTTTGATTTGCATCTCTCTAATGGCTAATGATCATGAGCATTTCTTCATATGTTTGTTGGCCGCTTGTCATTCAACTATTTCTACACAAATTGTGACATTGGTTGCATTCTTAACAATGTGTGAACATTTTCAGTATGTCCATTTTGGTTGTTCCATTTCTGTTAATCTAGTTTCCTTACCTCTTTGTGTTTTTATCTTTGTTTTGATAAAAAAATGGTAATCATTGACCATTTGGTCTCTTGTAGATGACTTTTTAAAGGAGCACAATACTCTCAAGTGATTTTTATTTTATGAGTCAATCTTTTAAGTAGCTGAATGGCCTTGGGAGCTAGTTTCAGTTCAGAGTTTAAAGAATATCTCAGAGCAGTAGTCTTGGGGAGTCCTCCTGTCTTAGCTGGTAAAGTAAGTGTGGTTTAGTTTAGGTTTTTTGTTTTTTTTTTCCTTAGGAATTTGAGGTACTCTTCCACATTTTTCTCCCATCCTATCAGTGTCCATCTATTGTGGCTCTGATCAGCATGATTGATTCTGAAGGTAGATGAGGACCATCCAGTTCTTTTGGTCTCAGGGTAGATAAGGCCATGGTTCATGTAGACTTTTAGTCTTGTAGACTAATTTCTTCTCTGAGTCTTTGGTTTCCTTCTTTCTCTTTTGCTCCAGAGGAGTAGAGATAATAGTTGTATCTTGGATGGCCATTTGCAAACTTCCCCCTCCTTTTATTTTTTTCAGTTTTTACTTTTTTTTTTTAAATTGTTTTTACTTTGTTTTCTTTTCCTTAAATTTTTTCAAACCGTTGTGTCTCGGACTAACTTTCAATAGAGAGCTGTGAAGGAACTGCTCTGCTCTATATGAAACTCCGACCCAGAAACAGGTCATCTACAAATGGTTTAGCCTCACAGTCTCCTCACAAACCTGCAGTATGTGCACTCACAAGGTTTTGAGTCCCCAGACACTACTTACCAAACTAGCATGTAGAACCTAAAGGTTATGAACTATATTATGACAGTTGACCAAGATGTCCCATAAGACTGTGGTCCTAATCCTTCAAACTCAGGAAGCAATCCCGAGAGTTATTTGATTATGTCTAAGAACTATATGTAACTGTGCCCCCTACATGTTTTCTCATATATATGAATATGTATATGTGTGTGTGTGTGTATGCATACACCTATACATACATACATATATACCCACCCATATATTTTTTGGTGTTTGTTGCTATTGTTCCAAAATTATATATCCCACAGCATTTACCAAATTAATGAAAGTGACAAAAAGGAATGCACTCTTAACATTGTGTATACATATTACCCAATTGCTCTTCAAAATCTATCTTCATAATACAGGATGGGAGTGATCTGACTCTTCATTGGATGTGAGGCAAGAGAAGTTATTGTGAGTGTGGGCTTTGTGATTGGATATATGCTGTGCAGATCGAGGAGATGATGTTACCACTTTACCCCAAAGTAGTCAGACCACATTTTGGATATTGATTTTAATCCTGGGCACCAGGCATTGACTGAGACTTGACCTTCTGAGTACATGCAGAAGGCAGTGGCCAAGACGTGACACCATGTCTTATGAGGGAATATTGAGTCATGAAGGGATAGTTACTTGTGAGAAGTCTGGAAAGGATATGATTAACTCTCTTAAGTATTTGAAGGGCTGTCTTGTCAAGAGAAATTAGATTCACTCCATGTGAGGGCAGAATGAGCAGCAAGCTTTGGATGTTCCAGGATTCGGTTTTAATGTAAGAAAGCCCTTTATAACAGAAGAGTCTGGATGTGGATTGGGTCCCCCCTGGAAAAAGTGAATCCCCCTTCCCTCCACATCCCTGGAGATACTCAAGCAGGAGTCAGATGTCACTTGGATGAAGGGGCATAGCATGTGCATGGAGTGATGCATCATAAGGATTTTATTTGGAGACCTTTGAGAAAACTATGTGACTATAAGACCTTGAACTTGAAATCACAGCTCTGAATATAACAATCTGCTGCAAAGCCAGATGAAAATATTCTATAAGCACCGTTCAGTCTCTTAAATGCTTCTTCGAACAAGAAAGTAACTGTTGAATCTGCTAATCTCTCATTTTCTAGACTCAGGTCATTGGTAAAGAGAAATGGAGGCTTTTGATGGCTTTTGACATTTAGTTCATTTACTGTAGCCATGGGAAGATGGTTTTTCAGTTTTTTTGTGTTTTCATTATATTTTATACAGCTTGCCAACCATAGATCTCTTAGACCTTAAGACTCCAGCTCCTGGTCCATGGTAAAGGGATGGTTTTCACATCGGTCCCTCTGGGTAGCTGGCTGTGACCAAGCGATGACCACAACCTTGCCCCTTGTCAGTTGTACTATACACCTGGGAATTTTGATCATTCACATAAACTTATAGGACCATTGTCTTCCAATCTTATACATGTTCTTGGATACACTCCCCATTTCATGGACACCTACTATGTAGGTGTAGCCTTTTCATCTTTTTTTTTAAATTCATATATTACTTTCAACATTTTTAAACTGAATTGCAATTGCAGTGTTTCTGATTCCTGTGTGTGTTGGAAAGTTGTATATACTTTTCATTGAAGAAAATAGTTAAGTTTTTAAATTATACTTTAAGTACATTTTTTTGCCTTTAATACTTTTGAACATGTTGTTGTTGTTGTTATGTGCCATCGAGTCAGCCCCAACTCATAGTCACCCCTCTTGGATTTCCGAGGCAGTATCGCTATAGAAGTAGGATTGCCCAACCTTCCTTCCAAGGAGTGGCTGGTGGATTTGAACCGTAAGTCTTCTGGTTAGCAGTCAAGTGCCTTAGCCACTATGCTACCACAGCTCATGTTTTTCTAGTATTTTGGAATTGATACTTTGAGAAGTTTTTTTTTTTTTTTTTAAAGAGATGTGATAGGTCACACAATATGTAAGAATATGTGAAAAATTGCCTGTGTGATTTTAATATTCCTGAAGCACAACTGATTACATAATTACCCGACATCTTGCCCTTCAAAGTATGGTCTGGAGAACAGTAAACATGGAATCATCTGGGAACTTGTTTACAACTGCAGAATCTCAAACTCCACCCTAAGCTCCTGAATCCGAATCTGTGTTTTAACAGGTTGGACTTTCTACAGTGGGTGAAAGAGTATCCCAGGTGGCATGATGCAGAACCTGTGCTTAATAATAATAATCTCTCTCTCTCTCTTTTTTTCTTTTGAGCACCTGTTACATGCCTGGCATTGTGAGTGAGCTTTTTCACATGCATGAGCTAATTTAATCCTCAGAATTACCCTTTAAAGTAGGTAATTAGAGGCTCAGAAAAGTTGTCAAAGGGCATGCCAAAAGTGTCACTGAAAGATGGTTTCTGGAGTCTGTATTTCCCAAGCCAAAGTAAGGAAAACTGAGGTCCAGCTAGTAATAGCATAGCCTGGCCAAGAGCTAAAGCCTCCTCTGAGATTCCTCTGAGGTCATACTCGAGCACACCCTGTGCTGCCTAGTGGAGTTGGGATGCTTGAGATGGATTGCAGACACAGCAATTTCCCTGTCTGTGGAAACTCAGGCTGCAGCCTCTGACTATATTCATGGTCCAGTTGTGGCTTGGTATGAAGGGGCACGGTAGGAAGTCACTTCTGACAAACCTTGGAGAGAGAACAAGCAGAGGCCCCATCTTATCTGCAGAATGGCATCCTGAAGCATCAGTTAGAAAAGACGTCCAGGGGACTAGATAAAACGTTTTTGAGGTGTTGCCAAGATCAAAATACGCATAGAATTTTTTGGTTGGTTTGTTAATTAATAAAACTTCATTGAAAACATAATTTGAAAGAATGGTTATTTCTTAGAGATCAGTTCTAGTCTTCCATTTCTAAAGCATTTTTGCACCCCTATTTTCTTGGATTCTGCTTGTGATAGGAGATAAAATCAATGATGAGAAGTGCTGTTTAATCATTAAGGAATTTATTTATGCACCTGCATTTCTGTTTTCTGCTTACCTCCATCTTGCTTTGGATGTTTAAGAATAAATCTATGTTTGTCACAGTGTGAATAATTCTGAAGATAATGACTTATGCCGATAATAAATTTACAACTTAGAAATGAGAGGATTTTAGGTTTTCCCAAAATGTGAGGTTTCATAACCCATACAGGAAAGACAAACAAATAAATAAAGACATTACAGCTATATTTACTTAAAAATCTACTGAGCAAAATTGCTTCTGATAACTAAAGCAACATTGTTGTAACAATTAGGATTAATTTATATGTTGTCCAGTTGTTAACCTATCTATTTAGAAGTTCAATTGAAGCCCTAGATAGGATCTGAAAATGGAACATTTTAAAAATCCACCAACCCTTCCCAACACTATGTCACAGTACTCTCCCTCCACCCCCCAGTCTTCTAAAAATCAAGGCCAAATTTCACCTCCCCCTCGCTGCCATTTGGTGGTATTTTTGTTTCTCTTTAGGTACCATCCTATTTTCTTTTCCTTTACCATTGACATCGGCTTATTTCATATGAATGCATAATATATTAAATACATATGCATTTAAAATATTGTTTTGATTTGTTTGTGAATTGTTTCTCTTAGAGGGCCTATCTGGGGAAATGAGTAATTCCTCATATCCTGTTATTGCAGGAAGAATTTTAAATCGTTTCTCCAAAGACATTGGACATATGGATGACTTGCTGCCCCTGACATTTCTAGATTTCATCCAGGTAACGTAACAGTAATGTCAAATTCTCAAATGGAAAATTGAAGTTTCTGATTTATCAAGGCCTTTCCTTGGGGAGTTTTTGGGGGTGATGGTGGGGCTTTCTGCCTGCGTATGTGTAATTTTACCTGAATAAAAGGCCATGTTTGTAAAAGAAAGGTGTGGTTATGATTCTGAGCTAAGTTAACATGAGTAATACCGCCTGTGTAGGAGTGGCTACACTGTCGTGTCAGTGTTTTCATTTGCAGCAGCGATATGCTTTGTAAATGGCTCAGGGGCTGCCTCCCAAGTATCTGGCATGGATTTTGCTTTACTGTGAACACATTTCATAATATAGGAACAATCACCTCTCACGGAAAGATAGCCTAGATTAACCAAATTATGCATTGTATTACCACAAAGGGCAAATATTTACTGCACTGGTTTTTTTTTTTTTTTTGGATAAAGCCAGGTGTGGTTACTTACAAAGAAAAGATTAGTAATAATAAGGTGAAAATAATACTTTGTGTTAACAAGGACAATAGAGAGCAGTTATTGGAGATACAAAGCCTTTAAAGGCAAGTATGTTAAGGCCCATAATTTGAGTACAGGATCAAAGTCACCTCAGAAAATGTCTGTTTTGTTTTTGTAGGCAGTTTTTCTTTTCACACATTGATTGTTCTAAGTCTTAAGCTGTCTCTTTTAAAAAAAAAAAAATAGAAAACCAACAATCCCACAGAAATATCTTGTATAAAGCATTTGTTTTGTCTGTGAACTTGAGGTTCTAAGAAATAATGTTGATTCATGTCATCTCTCATCTCCTCATTCAGAATTGTTGCTCATGTGGTATTTTTTCTGTTGTTTCATTCTGACTACTTTCCAATGATTCATGTTAGGGAACTTTCTTCTTTTCCGAGTGTTTATTTTGGAAACAGAAAGCATCCAGAGTTTCACATGTCCTAAAATTCCAGCTACTATTGCTAATACTTCATGAGTTTGAACCTTTCTCACTTTCCCTAAGTGCTGGCTTACAGTAGTCTAAATCATGAGTGGATTTGAAGGCCAGGAAGTGGAAGTGCTAGAGTGGATCAGTAATTATGGCTATCCTGATAGCTCTTTTTGTTTTGTTTTGTTTTTAGGACTCAAATATTCTTGGAGTCAAAGCTTAGGATCACCTCAGGAGAGGAACCTTTGTTTTAAAAGGAGCCAAGACTAGTTAATTTGGAAAATTATCTATGTCGGAAAAATCAGTAATAGACTTGAAATGATTACAGGAATTCCTATTAGTCACACAGAAATGCAGCAATGAATATTTGACTGCAAACAACTTAGGCCGTGGGTAAATGTGGCCGCTGTTGACCAACATGTGACGTAAGCTGAGGCTCACGGAGTATTTTTACTGCAAACATAGACCTCTGTTTTTTTTTTCCCCTTCTGCAAACTTATTTTATAAATGACTTCTTTGGCTTTAGCTATATTTGTAGTTGATACCTTGGGAGCAATCTTTCACTAAAGCAGTTACAGTTTTTCAAAGAATGCAGATGACTTTAGGTGCATGTTTTTACAGGGATTGTTAATTTGAGAAGATTGTGTGAGGTGTTTTGTTACTTTTCAGCTGCAAGTTAGGCAGAGGTTGAGGTTCCAAAGCCAGCTGGCCCACTATGTGCTTAGCTTATAGTGAATATAATTAGAATCCCTCATATATTTTTGCATCATGGAGGACAAGGATGAGTGCTACTTGATTTCACTGTAAGTCATTAGCAGCATGAGGAGAGGACATCCTAGACTTATTTCTATTAAACCCAAGAGACAAGGGTGTTTTATTTATTGTCCACGTATTTAATCTTAGTTAAACTTACTCTTGAATACTCGTTGTCCCAATTAGCTGATTTCTTGAATTCAGTAACAAAGGTAAATTTTGGTGTTATTGTCTCTTAAGAAATGGGTTTTATATAAAGGATAACTCAGTTATCAATTATGATAAAGATCTATTGTCACTTGTTTTGTTTGCAGGTGTCTTTAATAAGGCTTCCTATAATCCCTTCAGGAAGAAATATTTTCTCCTTTTAAAAATAGTATTAGCTAAATATAAAAGCTCTGATCCCTGCCATTGTTGTTGATTCTTTGAGGGACAGTTCCCAACATTCATTGTTTAAATGGTTGTCAGGAGGAATCAAGTGAAACTTAATAAACAATGCAGTAACTGGTTCATCTTACTTTGTGTGCAGAAGCTTTTCTTGAGAGGATTTGCATTCAATGAGTGGGCTTTTGACTGAGGTATCACAGGGATCATTTTGAAGTATTTTGGCCTGTTGCTATATGAGCAAGCAAAGATTTTTTTTTATTAAATCCACCAAAATGAATATAACCTGCCCTCAAATAAAGACCAACAAAAATCTAAATGTAAATTAATTTTTTTTTTTTAAGTTGGATGTGACTCTGTAAGGATTAAAACAACCCAGTGGTGTTCAGAGACTCTTAATGGAATCATGTAAACTTAAAATAAACACTATGATGGCAAGCACATAGAATGAAAACTAATTTTCCAAATCAAATACACTATATTCAATTCATTTTCCCCAATCAACCAAATGTTTAAAACCTGTTAGTTATAACAGCAATCTTCTGGAAATTAATTAGAAGCCTATTAGCTCTGCTAACTGAGCCGAATGAAGGGGGTTTGCTCGCTATATTTCTAAATAGGCTCCTGAATTAAACCACAGCAAGGTCAAAATGACAGCTTGACTCACTTTATGGCTTTGCTTAAGTAGTTGATCTAGTTTTTTTTTTGGGGGGGGGGTTCTGGGAGAAGGGGCCGTGGATAGGGGTGGGTGTTTTGTTGTTTAGAAGAAGTTTTATCTTTGTCTCAATCTTCTAATAAATTTTTAGAAAGTAGGTACCAGTCAGGTAAGCCATACAGGTAGGATGAATATAATCCATGGGAACAATAGCATCTTCTCAACTGCATGGGAAACTGAAGTGGAAATGACTTCCCAGGCCTTTTGTCTGTCTCAGCAACTCTTCTAAAGGGTTTTGTTAGCCCCTTTCAGAACTGAGGTAGTAGAAAATTTCCTGTCTGCTTTTGTTTTTAATGTCATTATCAAAACCTGCTGCTGACATTAAGAGATGCTTTGTTGTAACAGGAGTCTGTGGGTGGTGCAAACAGGGTAACTAGCTCAGCTGCTAACTTTAAAGGTTAGAGGTTTGAATCCACCCAGAGGTGCTTCTGAAGAAAGGCCTGGTGATCTACTTTCAGAAATATCAGCCAGTTGGGTGAAATAAGTCAATCACAGAAGGACGAATATTGTATTAGTCCGTTACTATAAAAAGTCAAGGAAAGGTTTATATATTAAATTTTCTTTGTTGATTACCAGGGGTGGAAGGGGAGGGGAGGGAACACTGTTAGGTAGGTAGAGACAGGTATTGATTTGGGTGAAGAGAAGGGCAATGTACCAAATGTGAGTGATCAACATAGTGGCATTGAGGAAGAGGAAGACGTAGAGAGTACATGGGAGGTACGGAGAACAAAGATGAACCCTTTTGCACATACAGTACTGCGTTGTCAGTGAAGGCAAACATTGATCTACAGGTGGATAGATAGGTAGACAGGCTGAACTATTAGCTATGTCTATGCAGTGGGGGGAGGGGGTGGCCAAGACCACATACAGAGTTGGCAGACAGTGTTTCTACAAGGGTGTTCATAAGTTCTGTAAGAATTCTCAGGTATGTAGTAGAGCTGATAAAGGACAAGGTTGTAGTAACTTCTTGGCCACAGCTAGCTACCCAAAGGGAACAAGTAGTTGGACCTGTGGGCTTGGGACCATAGTTGCAGGGGACATCAAGCTCAATTGGCATAACATACTACACAAAACATTGTTCCACCTCCTACTTTGGTGAGTAGCAACTGGGATCTTAAAAGCTTGCAAGCGGCCATCTAGATACAACAATGCATCTCTCCTCATCCAAAGCAAAGAATAATGAAGAAAACCAAAGACACATGGAAACAATTAGCTCAAGTGACTAGTAATCCACATGATCCTCAACCTATACAACTATGAGACCAGAAGAACTAGATGGTCCCCGGCTACAACTGACAGCCACTTGGAAGGGGATCTCTATAGGAGATCCTGGATAGAGTGGGAGAACAATGTGGAACAAAACTCAAAATCATTTAAAAAAAAAAAAGATCAAGTTTGCTGTCTTGTAGAGCCTGATGGAACCCCTGAGACTATGGCCCCTAGCTGCCCTTCAGGTCTGGAATTGAACCTATGGCTTCCAGCCAAACGAAAAACAAGCATATAAGCTGAATATTTACATTAGGTAGATACACTCCTTGGAGAGATCAATTATGGGAGAATAGAAAGGCTGTGTATGCACAGGAAGACAGCTCAGGGGGTGGGAGTGCATAGGAGGGAAGGACAAAGGGAGGAGGTGACTATGGGGAGGAAGTGGGAGGAGAACTGTTGCATTGTAGGAAATTGTAGTCAATGTCATGAGACAAAGTATATGTGAGCTGCTGTATGGAAAGTGACTTTGCTCTGTAAACTTTTACCCAAAGCATAATAAAAATGAAAAAAAAAAAAAAAAAAAAAAAACAACCATTGAAAACCCTATGGAGTACAGTTTCAGCGTGGCACATGTGGGATTGCCATGAGTTCGAATCAACTCTATGGCAACTGGCTTTTTGTTTAACATCTCTCATCAGAGTCTATGGGCAAAAATCAGTATGACTCTAGCAGCCGCTTCTATGCTCAGAGAAACTCACAGCGGGTGAGTCCTTTCAGATCTATCATGACTAAAACAACTGAGTTTAAAACGGTTGGAAATTTCCTTGTCCAGAATTTACCCCTGTTATCTTGCAGGAGATGGTGATCCTTACTGATGATCTAAGAGAAGACTACATATCATCTGATACTCTTGAGCCAGAAGAAATTTGGGGGAATTTACAGTAACAGAGTGCATATCTAAATCCAAAGCTTAGATACCTTTTTGAATAGGAAGTTAACTTTTTTACTCACCAGCATA